CTGCTGACTTCTGGTGCCCACAGTGGGATGTCCTGTGGGGCACCATGACATGGGCTGGGGGACCAAGGTCTCATCTTCTTCCTCTATCAGACAACACTGGTGTGAACACACTCCTAGGGGCAGCCTGACTAAAGAAGACAGTTTCTAGGTCAGTGACTGTGGCCGTGGTTCCCCGAGGGCTGAAGTGAGCACAGGGTCGGATCTGAGACACACTGAGAATGATGGGTGCTTGAGTAAAGAAGCCAATAGGTGGCCAGGAAGTAACTCAATTACAGGCTGCACGTTTTTGGCTCCAGGGACCGTGGGTTGGAGTGGAAACCATCGATTTCTCTTCAGGCTGACAGAAGGAGGCACATTGTGACCCAGGAGCCTCTGCGAGGGGTGCTCTTGCTAGCACCCTGCACAGCGGCCTCTTCTGGGAGTGGGGACCTTCTTGGGGGGCCGGTTTCTGCTGTTACGAGCTGGTGAAGGTGAAGTCACATGCATGGGAAGTACTGGTGTGGGCATCCTCAGGAGGCTCTGAAGGGTCCCGGTTGGACTTTCTGGCACCATAGCCATATGGAGGGAACTTTGGTCAGGAGACATCGTGGCCACTCTGACTGTGCTCTAGGCCAGCTTAGAGAGGGACAAGGCTGGGAGCAGCTGTGGACCTCCCTTTTGTTCTGGGTCCCATGTTCCCTGGGGCTCTTCTTGGAGACATGTTCAACTTCAGGTGAGGAGAGTCTCTGGTCCTGTGTAACAGCCACTTTTGACCACATTGCTTCTTGATCAAAACTCAGTAGTTCCCCTGAGTCTATGGGGAAACAGCAAAGGCTGTTGACATTACTATTCAAAGCCCTTTGGGGTCTGTTCCTGGGGCCTTTCGACTGCTCTCTCTTGCTTGTCCTGGTCACAGGAAGCCCCAGCGAGGGCAGGCTCCTTTCTGCAGCCCTTCCAAGAGGTGTTTGTGGAAGTCTTGCCTCTCTCTGTGTGCTGGGAACAGTATCTTTGCTCTGGACCCCAGCGTGGAGCTTCTGTGGCACTTAGTAAGCAAATCAATGCAAAAATGATGACTGGCAAGCTCTGTGCTTCTGACAGAAGTGTTCGCTCTCCGCAGAACACAGGCGGCTTCTCGCTTGCCTCCGGGCTAGAGGGGAACATTGACTTTCTGATCAAATATTATTCTGATGCGCAAGGCATCTTTGATGTTTGCAAGTCAGAAAAGTTTAATTACATGTGTCATTAGGATGGCATTCTCTAATAGCTCTGTGACTGAATTCATTAACAGAATTCTTAACAGATAAGACAAGACAAATTAATATTTTGTTGCCCATGAAAGCGTCTCATTAAGAGAGTAGAGAAAAAGTGATTAATATTTTCTTGCCAATCAAGATGTCTCATACAAATGACAAAGAAAGGAGACCCACACCTTTTTGTGTTTTCTAATCTCCCTGCCTGGGGTTTGGAAGGCTGATCCGTTTCCCTGGTTGGAAGCCATGTTTCGGTACCAGGCATTAATTGCAACTGCGTTGATTGTATTCCAGTGCTCGTGGGGGCGGAGTGAGGGGTGCTGAGATAGCCAAGAGGCTCTGAAGACCCCCCCAGAACCTCAGATCTTTGCTCCTCCTGGGCTGTTCGCCTCTGACCAATTCTTGCTTCATAAATACCCTGGGACTTCTGGGGACCCAGCTAGTGCCCGCTTTGGCTCGACTTACTCCTAGAAGTGTCCTTCTTAATGTCCTGGGAGGGAGGGAGGATGCTGCTGCACCTCCCTGGGTGTCCTACACCCTGGGTGTCCTACCCTGAGCTGGGTGTTTCCCACACATGGTCAGCTTAATGTTAACGAGGGTAGAATGTTAAGTTTCAAATCCTGGGACAAATGGCTGAAGTGCTTATTTAACATATCAAAGTGGACACTGGCCACTAGGTTCTCCCAGCATCCCTCAGTCCCTACTTGTTACAGGGTCCTCCCGGTTGGCGTACCCCTCCCTCTACCCTAAAATTCTCCAGTCCAGGGGCTAGGCATCCCTTCCCTCAGCTTCCCTTCCCTATATAATCCAATCATTTTGGTTACTCATCCTGTTTGGGCCTCCTGGCTGCTGCACCTGGATCCCCTCTATCCCCTCTGTCCCCTCTGTCCCCTCTCCCATAACCCCTCCTCACATAGCTCAGGGGCATGGTCACTCTGGACTGTCCCAGGTGCCTCTGCCTCTGGCTATCCTCTTCCTTTTATCTACAATAAACTTTCTCCTCCACCATACCTAGGAGCAGTCATGTCCTTTCCTTTTTATTTTTTCTTCATTCAGTAATAATAATAACAATAATAATAATAATAATGATGATAATGGCATTCATAGAATAGTCTATGTCAAGAATGTTACATGCATTTCTTTACTGTAAATCTATAAGGCAGGTGCCCTCTCTCATTTAGCCCATTTCATAGATGAGGAAAATTGAGACTTATAAAGGTCAAGGGCCCTTTCCAAGGTTACTCAACAAAGTGTTAGAGCTGAGACTTGAACCTAGGCCTCTTTGAACCCACAGCCTATGTTCTTCATTAGCAGGTGGTGCTCCCTCTCCCTGATGTGGAGGAGGCAGCATGGGCATTGCATGTGTGTTTTAGCATGCAGCAAGGACCCCTGTAGAGCAGATGCTGCCCTGCACCTGTATCTGGGGCTTCTGAGAAGCAAAGACCTGACCCTGCCTATTTGCAGGCTACTGACTCAACCATGAGCAAGTGTTTCCAGAGAGGTAACAAGGGGCCATTAATCTCTGGTTGCACCCACAATTATCCAAATTGCTAACCTGATTTGAAAAGGAGAAATGCAATCGAGTTGGTGCTGGAGGCATGTTTGAGTAATTTAATTAACCGATGGCAAGTGCACCGAGGAGAGTTTGCCTCTGCTTTTATTTCCGATGTGTTTAAATGGAGCACCAAATAATGCTGGGGAGGTTAGTCAGTCACCGGTGGCCCCTGCCCAGTGAGGTGCCAATCACAGCGGCCAAAGGCATTTGCAAATGGATGCCAATTATGAGAGGCTCTGTATACACAAGCCGGCATACCCAACCCACACACATGCACACATATACACGCTCATACTCAACACACACATGTACACACACACACACACACACACACACACACACACACACACACACACACACAGTGGACTTTCTTGCTATGGTCTCTAGCAAGGCCTAGCCATCTCAGGTCTAGAGGATGAAGGAGTCTACTTAAGAAGTGTCTATCAGGCACCCCCAGGGCAGGCTTCACTGACATTCTGAGATGGATGGGAGAGGATACTGGCTGTCCATCCCACAAAGGGGGAAGTCTTAGGGAAACAATACTGCCTGGTGTGACAAGAGGGTTGAGGACATTCCTCAGCCAGATCTGCCAGGTTAGATGCTGCAGAGTGGTCACCTTTTCTAGCTGCTTTCCCTGTGATCTGCAGGCTCCACCCAAAGGGGCCTAGAGTCTTGAATCTCAACTCTAATGGTGCCTATACTTTGGGTTGGACTGCTTATATCAGTCTCAGCCCTGGAAGCAGCTTCAGATCACAGGTTTAGCCGCCATCTGGAGACTGTCAGCATTGCTGTCCATTTTCTCTGCTTGTGCTTACACATCCCTGGGGATGGGAGGCTCAATCTACCATGAGGCAGGCTCAGTAGCAACAATGGTGTCCCATCTGAGGAGTCAGATTGGTCTCCTTGGAGGTCACATGGCTTAGATCATCTCCTTCCACTTATAGGTGGCCAGGATCTGACCATTCATCCCATGGGTCGTCTTCTCTGATGCAAGCATCCCATTGTGGACCTACTGTTTGTCCGGAGTCAAGGAGACCAGCGTAGTCTCCTCTGCTTGAAAACTCTACTCCCATTATTTTAGCCCAAGACCCATAGCTACCCCTCTATCTCACCAACATGGGGGGATTGCTGACTTCTCTCATGAAATGTCTGGACAGCCACCTCTACCCTTTGCCAAAGCTAGACCAATTGTTATATTTGAATTAGTCCATGTCTTCCTGCAGTGCAGTGTAAGGGAGGGGCGGCCCAGGTCGCTTTCTTAAAGATAAATTTATCAGGGATCAGCAGGCCAAGGAATTACTCAGTGCCACAAAGCTGGTATAGAAGTAGCTGACAGGTTCTTCAGGGTCCAGAAGTATTATGCCCTGTGGGTCACACATCAGGCTGTGTGAATTCACCCACCTACTCTCTGATGAGGAGTGTGTGTGTGTGTGTGTGTGTGTGTGTGTGTGTGTGTGTGTGTGTACGCATATGCGGTGTTGGGTGTATGGGTTGTGTGTATAGAAGTTTGTAAATGCCCTTTGGACACTGTGATTGGTTCCATGCTAAGTCAGGGCCACTTGTGACTGAATAACCTCTGTGTCCATCTGTGGGGGGAGGGGGCTGGAAATTCCTTGAATCTGCATCTCCTTACCCCCCAAAAGAAGGTTGGTCCTTAAAGTGAGCCTCTGCTGGCCTTACTTGGCTCCCTTCTACCTCCTCATCCGTCATTTATCCTCCATCCGACCAGCCACCTTGCTCAGTTTGCCTTCTGCAGGGACAGCCCAACTGTCCACACTCTCCCCAGCTATAGGGCTGGGCTCTCCTCCTTGTAGCTCCTGGCCAGCTTTTCTCTCAGCCTGGCTGCGCTCTCTGGCAGCTTGTGGCTCATCCCTGTGAGGGATGAGACTGGGCTCACACAGCCTGCTTCTTTCCAGATCCCAGGCTTAGGGCCTGTTTTAGGCCTTTGCTAAAAGAGGGCCCTGGCCAGGTGCCACCTGCCCTGCCCATGTGCCTCCTGGTCAGTAACCCCTCTCCTTTGACTGGATATAACTATCAGGTTGATGACTGTCATCCATCTTGCCCTCTGTACATGCAAGGACTTGGGTCCTCTAAAGCTGTCAGGCTGAGCGTGGATCTGTTAAATGGAAGCCCTCTGCCACTGCTGCCACAGGGTGTCCTGCACATTGGCATTCCCAGGACATCCCTTGCACTCAGAATGAGTGCCGGTGACTTACGTTGATGTCTTCCAGGCCCAGGAAGCTCAGAGTGAGCCCGTTGCGCTTCCAGATGATCGGTGGCCTCAGGTCTCCACGAATAGCGCAGGTCAGCACTGTGCTCAGCCCCACAGTCACTGTGGTCACACTGACCTTGTCCTCAGGGGCGAGGCTCAGCTGAATCACTTCTGCAGAAGGCAGAGAGAGAGAGCAGTCAGAAGCAGACACAGGGGCCAGACCTCAACTCCAGGTGAACAGTCACAGAGTCACTCAAGGGCAGGGCCAAGGGGAGCTTTGGACCCCCAGAAGTGGTTTCTAACATGCCAACTAAATGTACAGGTAGACACCTTTGCTGGTTGATGGGTTACAATTATGTTGAACGTCTGAAAGGCTCTGTGAGTCAGAACCAGTCAGAAGCAACAACTAAGGTGCTGGAGAAACATCTGGGCCATGGGTTTGTGAGTGGAGTTGAGAACACCAGTTGTCAGGCCCCATAAGGTCCGCCTAGCAGACAGACCACAGAGCCAGCTGTGGGGCATGCTGCTTGGAGCGCTCTGGCTTAATGAAGTTGGAACTTGCTGAGTGCGGTCAAGGTCTGCTGGTGAGCCGACAGGTATGCCGTCCATCTGGGGTAGCTTAAAGGTTGAACTGTCTGCGGTCTGGAGCAGGAACTGGCTGACCTTTGAAGGTCTGTTTCTGCTTGAAGATTCACTGAGCTTGGATTTGGATTTCTGTTCTGTGACCGTGCACTGTGGCCTTTCATTATTATTATAATTATCTTTGGAAATACACTTCAGGCTGGCCAAATTATGAGCCCTTCCATTTTCACTTGCCAACTGGCACGGAGACTGGTCATTCTTTAGGCAAATACAGAAGGATCTAAAATACTTCCACACCACCCCCAGGCTTTCTGAAATCCTCACGATTTATGAAAAATTAATCAAACCCAGGCTGTTGAGTGCAAACATGGGACCAGGCTTGAGTGGAGGGGAATGGGACTGGTGTCCCCCTGCTCTTCCTCTATGTCCACTCAGGGGCTGGGACGGGGGTTGGCCTCAGGGGAGAGTGTGTCTGTATGTAGTCTAAGGTGCTAGGCTAGCTCACGATGCCATTGTATTGGGGCATAGGTAGCCCTGACAGGTATGTCCTCCAAAGAGTCTGAAGTAAAACATCAATCTGGGAGCTCTGCGGGATGCTAGGAGCTGGGAGCTGGAGTGTCACCACCTCAGGCTGTGCATCTGGATGCTCTCATGCCCCAGTGTGGGGGAGGGGAACAGGAGAGAAGAGAGGCCCAGGTGCAGCTTTGCAGGGTGGGAGTTGGAAGCAGGTGCCTGAGGTCAGACCTGCAGCAGCCAAGTCCCTTCCTTGCCATGTAGTGGCCCTGCCCTGGGCTTGTGACGATGAACATGCTGTACACTGAGGTGCTTCCTTAGTGCTTGTTGGATGGATGGATGAACAATGGAGAAAATGGAAATAAAGGAGCCCAAGAGCCAAGAGGCCGGTGGGGAGGGGCAGTCACACAGAGGAAAAAAATGTGACTCGAGCGAAGGAGCCAGCCAGCATGAGGAAAGATAAGCACCGAGTGATGGATGTGGACGCAGCCAGTGTAATATTTCACAAACATTATAGCCGTGCATTTCAAGTTCCCTCTTAAATCACGGTCCACCTGCTGCCCTCCCACCTCTGGGCCAGGACTGTTATTGCTCAGGGCGGGAGAAAGAGGTGCAGACTGTGTAGCAGGACCAAGAACCAGGCTTTAGAGACTCAGGGGAAGGGAAGGAAGGTGTGATGGGAGGAGTGTGTGTGATGGAGGGGGTGAGGAAGGGAGGGAAGGAGAGAGGGACAGAGGACAGAGAAGGAGAGAGGGAGGGAGGGAGGGAGGGAGGGAGGGAGAGAGAGAGAGAGAGAGAGAGAGAGAGAGAGAGAGAGAGCGAGAGAGCGAGAGAGCGAGAGAGAGAGAGAGAGAGAGAGAGAGAGAGAGAGAGAGAGAGAGAGAGAGAGAGATTTTGTTTAGCTTCCACGGAACTCCTGGCCCTTAGGGCTCAGAATCCAGGGCTCTCAATTGGAGAAAGGAACTCTTCCTCACTGGATGAACACTGTGCTCTGGAAGCAAGATGAGTGGAATGCCCCTCTTGCCCTAGGGACTATGGGAATAAGAAGGGAGTCTCCCAGGTAGGCAGAGGGAGGGATCCTGAGGGGGTCTGAAAGATGCTGCACGCCCCCCCCCCCAGCAGTCTGCTCCCCACATCCTGTGAGTCAGACCAGAGCCTGAAGGGGTGCTAGTGGTGGGGGCAGGCTGTGGGAGGCTCATCTTGGGTGGGTGGCAGGACTGACTTGCGTTGCCTGGAGGTCCTGCTGGTTGGAACTAGGCAGCAGAGAGAGGCCATGTATGCGGCTTCCCTGGAAGCCAGCCTGGAGGGCGGCTGGGATGAAGATGCATAGAGCAGTTCTGTTCATACCCAGAACATTTATGCCTATGGGCTGTGGAATCATCAGCATGGACCAGGCTTACCAATGGAGGGAGTGTTCAGTTGCCTCTTTCTCGGTGTCCCCGGAGAAGAAGTGAGGCTAGGTTCAAAAGGGATCGTCACATTCTCTGCATCTGACTTCCATCAAGACCAGAAAGACAGGCTAAGCAATCAACAGAGATTGCAGGAGACAGGGCTTCCCCTGGGGCTCCAATTCTCTGCTGTGATTTCCCCAGCTACCTGTATCACATCCCTAGGTAATTGGCACACAGCGCCTCCCCTCTGCTTGGGCTGCTGCAGACTCTTGTGAGTACAGTAGGCATCCTCAAGGCTTCTGTGAGGCCTAGGAACCACTGCCTTCCAAGATAGGAGGGGCTTGGGAATCTGAAAGGGACGAGGCAGTGCAGAGTAGAGGATGAGAGACAGGCCATCTGACAGATTAGAGTTCTGGCCTGCAAGTACGGGCTTTCATCCAGGATAGGGTACCAACAGGAACTGTAGGATCCCCTCCTCCATGGTACCCCCCAAGGTCACAATTTTCATAAAAGGTCTGCTACAGCCTGGAACACAGGGCCATTACAAACAGGATAAACATCGTGGGGTCAGGGCAGTGGGAGCCTTCTGCTGCCCTCCCTTCTGGCCTGCATGGCTGGGGCAGCTGGGCGATGCACCTTCCTCGGTTGAGTTCCCCATCATTTGTATGTATGAAGACATACACTTTGTGCAGGAAAAACTCATGCAAAATTAGAATGCGTGAGTACCCACAGAACCATCGTAATTCCGCTCCTGTCAGCTACACAAATATTAACCAAACAGCAAATATTTGGATCATTTAAAGTTTAATTAAATGAATGTTTTATTGGATTTAATTCGTGTCAATATTCCCCAGCTCCTTTTAAAATTCTAAAGAGATTTATGGTTACTGAGCCTTCTTCCCCCTGCCTTATTTCTTTATTTACTGTTCAGCAAGCTTTCCCTGGCAGCCCCTGCTTCCAGGCTAAGTGGGAAGACCAGGCAAGTTAGCTTTCTGGGGCCCATTGGACAGGATAGGACCCTTACCTCTGAACCTGGCTCAGCTTCTGAAAAGCAGAGTGGCCTTGGGCAGGTCCCTTCCTGTCCTTAGACTTCCATGTAGATATCAATAAAATGAAAGATGTGGCTAGGAGCCCAAGGGACTCACACTATGAGATAAGTACTTGACAAGGATCTGCCTAAGGTGGGGAAGGTTTACTTTGGCTTGTGGTTTAATTCGGGATATAGACCATCATGCTGGGGAAAGCATGGCAGCAGCAGAGTGAGGCAGCTGGACACACTGCATCCGGAAGCAGGACACACAGAGAAATGCCTGCCGGTGCTCAGCTTCCGTTCTTCCTTTTCATTCACTCTGGGGTGGGCCCCACCCTGTGGGATGGTGGTGTCCACATCAGAGTGGCTCTTCCCATGTAGTGGTGCGAATGAGAAACGTCCCCTGTAGGCTACGGTATTTGAATGCTTGCCTCTCAGTTGGCGGTGCAGCTTTGTTGGAGGTACATCATTGGGGATGGGACTTAAGATCCTACAGCCAGTTCTTGCTTTCTGTTTTCTCTCTGTCTACTTCATGCTTGTATTTGAAGAGCTCTCAGATCACTATCATGCCTCCCCAACCACCACGATGGACTCGTATCCCTCTGGAACCTTGTAGGCCAAAATAAACTCTTCTATAAGTTGCTTATGCTTTTGGTCACAGTGTTTTTCTCACAGCAACAGAGAAGTAACTAATACATGCCTCCTCAGTTAACGCTTCCTGGAAACATTCCCACAGACAATGCTCAGAGGTGTGTTTAAAACCAGTCGGGTTGACAATGAAGGTTGACTGTCACCCCTAAACTGTTAGATTCTACAGCTCTGAGTGGATAATTCTGCGTGGATGCCCCTGAAGAGCCCCTCCATCCTGCAGGTGGTGCCCACTACCCTTGCCTTGCCCCCATTGTTATCTGCCTCTGCACTTACTTAGTGATGCCTCTCCTCTTACTCACTGGCTCCCAACAGCTTCCTACATGGTCCTATCTTACTGCGGTTTCAACATGCAATGCTCCCCATATAGGCTTTAAGGAGGTGGAGCCTTGCTGGAGGAGGTGGGTCACCACCAGGGTCGGTCTTCAGGCTCCATAACCCAGCCCCACTTCCTGTTAATTCTGCATCTGCTGACTTCCTGCTTCTGCCACTGTAGCTTCCCTGCCTGAAGCCACATCTTCCTGGTCGTGATGGAACGATCCCCGTGGCTTGTGAGTCATAATAAACACTTCCTCTCTTAGGTTTCTTGTCAGGCATCTCTTCACAGTAATGAGATGAGTAATTAATGCATCTCCAATGTAACCAATGCCCCTTCCTCCCACAAACCTCTATTGTCCCTTCCAGAATAAAGCTATCAGCTGCTGTCACTCATGCGACATGCAGAATCTAGAAGAGTCCCTGATCCTGTACCCACTCTGTCTTGGACATTATGCTCTAGCTGGTTTCTTACTCCTTGGATTTAAAACAGTGTGTGTGTGCACGCGTGCACACACTCACGTGTTCACATGAGAGTGCTGGTGCATACAGTTATGTGCATGTATATGGAGGCCAGAGCAGTGCTCTGTGCCCACAGGGACATGGATGCTGCTGCTATGAGAACTGCATTGGAAAGCTGCTGGGTGATGAAGGATTTTAAGGAGGGTGAGGAAGTCAGATGGTCTTCAGGG